AGAATTAAATTATATGGAAGTTTCATTCCACTTTAACAGGCTTTCGAGAGTTTGATAGGAACTGACTGTGAATTGTTCAAAGTGTCTGTGGAGATACTAAAGTACTGAAGTCAACGAAGCATGCATCCACATTATTCTTTCATTTTGGCATTTGGGATGCTGTTTTAATGGGCAGTAACAAAATTCCATAGATCTCTGTAGGTTTCACTTTGTGTGCTGCACCCAAGAGAACATGTTCAGTTCTATTTACTTTCCTGTTTATCCATATGAAATTTGTGTGAGTCTTGGCTCGGTTTGTCTAAGAGAACTGTTACAAAATGTACAGAGTTCAAGAGCTTCTGGCAAAGGGCTTTGGAAAAAGATACTGTACCACCTGCTTGCACTTGGTATGCTGTAGAGTATCTGCATTTCTTTTGTAAATTTATCTGCAAAATACTTTTTTTTTTTAAAGAAATGGTAATATTTCATATTCTTTATTAAAAATCAGCCAAGATGTACATGCCAATGGGCTGATAAGAACCATTTAGATCAGTGGAGGTCCTTCCATTAATTTTGTTTGGGTTTGACTTGGACTCTGTAGTTATAAATTTAGTGATGGCGTAATTTAAAGAGTAAATTGCTGAACTTGTTGCTGAACATCCTGGGAAGTTCTGGGTGCTTGTTTGGATGTCAGAGATACTCGAGACTCCTGCTGTGTTGTGAGCTCATCTGGGGACACCAAATGCATGCTGTCATTTAAATCACATCCCTGTTTTAATTCCTAATTCTTTTTTTCCTAATTCTTGTTTGTTTGCTTGCTTGTTTTAATTGGTATAAATCTTTCACCACAGCTTGTGGCTGGGAGAAAAGAAAGTCTGTTTCTGGGTTATGGGCATGTATTTGCCCTCCAGTAGCTGAAGACCTGCAGGGAGTAAGAAGCCAGGAGGGAACCTTCCTTCTTACCACTTTTTCTCTTTTTTTGTGCTAAGCCACTGTATCACCTTCAGTCCCCAGTCAGTACCTTGCTTCATCTAACTGGTAGCATCCCTAGTGCTATTATCAAGGCACATCTCATTCCTTGTTTCCTTCCTGGCCAGGAGGAGAAAAGCATGGGTTGCCTCACACCCCAAGCATGAACCTTACAAGATGAAGCTTTGCCTGAGCCTCCAGGCCAATTCTCTGAAGCAGCTGTGCTTTGGATGGGTGTTTTGCCTTTCCTGCTCTTTTGCAGTGGCCAGCCTGTGGAATTGCAGCTTAATTCACACAAACGTCTTTAAAATGTGACATTAATCAAAGTGGTTTAAAGAAACCCAGCCCAGTTCCGTTGTTTATTGATGTCCACAGCTGCCACTGTCTCAGGTACACAACTTTATGCATAGCTTCATATGCAGTTAATTCCTTTTCCTGAGAAAAAGTGATCTTTTTTTATACTAATAGCATGACACGCTTCCCCAGCGTATGCCTATCCAAGCTAGTCGTTTGTCCTTGTTAGGCTTTAGGACATAATGTTAGCTTCTTGGTAAATCATCTCCTTTGTTTGGTTTGGTTGGTTTTTTTTGTCAGTGCTTTCATAGCCTTATATTCATTTCCAATGACTGTCATCAAGATTGTCTTAATTGAAAAAACAATCACTGTAACTTTAGCAGCTGTTCTTCTACAGTATAAAATCATGGTAATTGTTTGTGTTCGTTCAGTGCAAGGTCGCTGTAATGGAAAATAAGTGATCTCCGTTAATAGCTGGTATTCTCCGTGCTATGGTGTCTTGTTGCCCATGAGCTGAAATGTGAGGTGTGCTGTGTATTGTATTAAATAAAGGGCAAAACCCACTTTTGAACTCTTACTTGACTTCTTCCTGTAACTTTATTTTTCTGAAATTGCATATCTTATCTCTGACTTTCTGTCTAGTTGGCCAGGTGGACTTGTGAAGTAATCTAATGGATTAAGCTTATTCATATATTACTCAGGAAGACCCTGGATGATTTATAGAAAAATGAAATAAAAAATATTTTCCCATCACTACAATATGTACCCATTAAGGGAGGCCTTCAGATGTGTACATCTCCTTCACTTTTAGAGCTTCTTTTTGTGGTTTACCAGTTAAAAGCTGTCATTTCCATCTTAGAACTTAAATTGGCACCTACTGGATGCTGTATTCTGACTATCCTTTTGCCTTGATATTCCTGCTTATTAATTGCAAGTATGAGCGTACATATACGTAGACCTTGTTTATAAGCATTACCTGTGATCTCAGCTGAAATGTTGTCATTGGCAGTCAGCTGGCAGTTTTCTACGTGTGCGCACGAGGCAGGTAATACTTTGGGGAAAACCAAAAAGTAATGCTAAAGCTGCTTTGCTCATGGTAGCATAGAAGGGTAAGATGTGCACCGGTGGGTGTATTCGCATGAGTGAAGCAAGCTGTTGTGACAAGGAAATGTAAGGGTTTAGTTTCTAAAGTACAGAGTTATTGTACTTGCTTGCTTATGGTCTAGTCTTCTTAATACATTTTAGTAAGTGATGAGCAATGATGTCATTCAACTAGCATATTTTAAACTTAGCAAATTCATTTTGAAAGCTTCTGTTTGGTTTACGGAAACTTTTGCACCTACTGTATTGACTAAAATTTGAAGTCTTGATCTTTTAACTGGCTGTTAATCTTAGATGCGTATTTTTGCCATCACCTCAAGTGAATCTAAGTTTCTGGAAATTACACCTTAGAGATTCTCCCTCCTTAGAGGGACGTGATTCTCATTTCCCAGCTGTTGCTGTTTATGGAAGAGGTTTCATTCTTCCCGCAGAGGTATTGCCTCTGACACTCTCTGTACCAAGCTCCACTTTGGATGGTGATCATTGTGGCTTTCAGCAGCTTCCCAACTATTTCCACTGTTTGAGTTTCTGCTACAGAATTACAGCTGGCTGCCACCTTCTTTTCTTTGTGGAAAGTTTTGAAAATATTCTCGAAGTTACAAGTAGTTATCTATGGATACCTTTAATTGAGTGTAATGAGGGGCAGAAGTTCATTTGTCTTAAGAGATTCTTCTATTTCATTTACATGTTGGTTTCCCAAGCCAACACAAAAATTTCAAAAAGCTGAGTATGTTCAGATTTGCTGACTACATCTGGTAGCAGTTAGAGACGGTTAGAACAATATGCAGTGGTGTTCGAGGTAAACAGGAGTTCAAAGAAAGGTTCATGAAATTTTAAATACTGTTGAGGACTTGCAGCAAAAAATCTATGGATCATGTAACGAGGCAATCAGTTCTTCAGTGGTACCTGGAAGAGCATCCTAGTACTGGTTTGGTTTTTTTCCTTCCTCTCTGACAACTCTTGAACATACCTTGCATCAATTTCTTTGACTTTTATTCTGCAGATTATAATAAGAGAATTTGAGAGTTGGAAAAGCTACATGGTTTATTCATTCCTTTTCTTTCTTTTTTTTCTTAACAACTCAGAACATTCTGGTGTATTAAAAAGAAAAAACGGGGGCCAGCTGTCCCTCCTGAAGTCGTGCCATCTATATCATCTTTTTGGCTGAGATGTCTGTCCTCTTTTTCCTGTCCAGGCGAATCCTCTGTAGAGAAATAAATGTGTCTTTGTGCCTTGGAAACAAACCACATCAAACAGAGGGTCTGATAGATAGCCTTTTCTGCTTCTTAATGCCTTTATCTCTTTTCCATGATTCTTCATATTTGAAGAAGTAGTGATTTTTTTTAATTTTTTTTTTTAAGCTGGAAGTTTCCTGCTTCCTAACAGTTTCTCAAATGAAACCTTGAGCAATGCTTAACAGAAGGTGAAGCAGAGCTGTTTCAGTTCTCCCCTTTCCAAGAGAGAACAACGTAAATAAAACTGAAAATGCAGTTTCTATTTTATAAAAACATATATATCTCTATATGAAAAAAAAGTCTAAGGTTTTTGTACCATGCTGCAGTGAAAAGATGCTATAAATAATTTCCCTATGACTTGGTAACACTTTTGTATCTGAAAAATTTTTGTTTACCTTTTTTTGTCATTTTGGTGGAAACTTCAGAAATTATTCCAGACTATTTTTTTTTCCAAGCCGCCTAGTTGTTTTCTTATACTTGTTACTTGATCAGTAACCTCAGGTTGTTGAGGCTGCAGGTCAGGAAATCTTCCCCTTCCCAAGACAGCAATTAGCAAAGACTTATTTACATTTCTAACTAGGTACTAAATTTTTCTGAAGTTTTCTTCTCCCCCTGCTCCCTCCCCCCCAAATAGATATAATAGGTTTATTAATAGATAATATAGGTATAGTAAGCACATACATTAAGTTATTAAGCACTGTAAAGTATTTGGCAGTGTCAGAAATTGTAGAACAAAACATCTGAGGCTACTGAAGAAATGTCTGTATTCTTCTCTGGTTCATCCAAGAAAAATAATTTGTTGTACAGCGGTGAATAATCTGCATTATCAAATATGTCCCGTTTCTGCCAGGTGCTGGGTGCCCTTCATTTCCTTTTGAACCCAAAAGGGATTCAGCATGTTGCAGCTCAGGCCGTGCTGAATGCTAATGTCTTAATATCTGGTAGATCATTAGGCTTTTATTTGTAAAATGGAAGCAAAATTAGTTTTGACCTTTAGAGCTAAGTCAAAATGTTAATCCATGTCCATTTCCAATGTGGTACATTAATTGCTCCCTTTCCTAATTGTGTGTAGGACAATAGTTTCTGTTCATTCAAGAGGTAAATCAAACTGCAGGTGATGCTTCGCATTCATAATTTTGTTGTTTGTTTTACTTACAAGTGAATTCCAAATCACTGAATGTGTCTTCATGGGTTCTGTCTAAAATAAATAAATAAATCAGTATTTCTGATATTTTTTTTTCCCAAATCAAAGCATGCATTCTGCCAAAAACTAGTGGGATGTGATATGCTTTATGATACACAGAGGATAAAAATAAGTTTATGCATTTTTCAGTTACTCAAATATTAGTATTCTTGGCAGCTCTGAATAGGGGGGGAAAAATGCCAGCGTGAAATTAATAACTGTTTTTGTTTCTGTTATAGCTACACTGTACACATCCTGCATTTTGTTGGGTATATTCCTCAACAGCAGTGTACCAATATTCTTTGAGCTCTTTGTGGAAACAGTCTACCCTGTTCCAGAAGGAATTACCTGTGGAGTTGTCACCTTTTTGAGTAATGTGTTTATGGGAGTGCTTCTGTTTTTTCTCACATTTTACCATACAGGTAAGAAATATAAGCTACTTTGGCAAGATAATTCTTCATGAAGACATACCCTTGTCAGTGAAGGGAAGATTTGCACGTACAATTTCTGTTAACAATCAAATGTTTGAATCCCACTATGTAGCAGCAAGGGAGAAGAACTTTAATTGTTCTATTCTACATGCATGCTAATAAAAATAAAATTTTTTAGTGCAAGATGCATATAGTCATGTTCCACTTAGAATTTCCTGTAGCCAGAAACCATCAAGGTACACACTGTCACCCATATCTTTAAAGGCCTGGGTAATGTGACCATTAATAATGGCTGTATCTATGGGTGTTCAAAACCACAATAAAGCTAATTCAGTCTCATACTTCAGGGTATAACTGTATTGCCCGGGAGAGGGACAGAGCAGAAATGTCCCTTTTTATCATCAGTTCCGTTCAGTGGGTCAGACATACCATTGCAGGGGAGAGAGCATCTCTTCACCGCTGCTCAAAGACAAAATACTCCTTTCTTTAGATAATCCAATGGTCTAATTAGGCAGAACAATGTTTTTCTTGATATTTTCATCAACTTCTTCAGGCTTTCTCATCTCTCAAGTATTTGCTTCCTCATAACTCATAATTGTAACTTTCCACTTGCTATTTAGCATACTGTAATATGTATTATTACTCTAAGCTGTGAAATAAGAGCCCATCTTGCTTTCAAAGGGAAGTGGTCTTTATTAATGGTTTTCAAAGATGCAGATTTTTGGTTTGTATTTTGTTGTTGTGGTAAATGTTTGCATCATGATACAAGATTTGTAGAGCAATGTTTTGCTTTTGCTTTGGAAGCATTAGAAATTGTGAGCTTTTATATATTATCACAAACGTGTGTACTTCTTAAGATGGTGTGTTTTATAACCAACAGGAGACTGACAAATTTCAGAATAAATTGTGCTTGAAATTATGAAGGTTACGGCCTGGGGCAAATTTTCAGCATGGTTTGTGTGTCTTTCTGTTCCAAATTTTCCAAATTGTGGTCTGTGAACACAAACTGAGAGAAATGATTCTTTTCTTTTTTTTGATACTAATATTGACGTGCATCATTGCAAAATCTGAATTCTATCCCTGCTAGCCTTGGATGGTGTGATGTTTAGTCTTTACATTTTAAAGAATGCTTCTATGATTAATATTCATTGGTGTGAACTCTCTCTGTTCACATATAGTATTTACACCTGAGCTGAAAAGATTTTGCAGAATATCCTGAGGATATTTTCAGCATTTTTCAGAGTAACAATCCAGTGTTTGGAATTGCTTAATAATTGAGGATTGGGATACAATGTCTCGCTTCTAACTGAAGAATTATGGTAAAGTGAACTCATTCCTTCATAAATAGGATATTTGAGGTCATTGTTTGTTTCTAGTATTCCTTTTCCTGTCAGGTACCAGTAAATACAGGTAGGGATAAACCTGAAATTAGTATATCCATACATTTGGAATATTTTCCCTATTTCTTCAAAGGAAAAAAAATGTGAAAGTAATTTGTGTTCAGGATGATCCATTCGCCATGATGCAGTATCACAAACGATCAAAAGTACAAGAGCGCCTGTGGTCACTGGAAGGGATCTATACCAGTGGGTGCTATTAGCTCCTTTGATAGTTATCCACCTTCTAAAGGATTTTTCTATCTTAAATATTTGGTTTTCATTTGATCCAATCCATCCTCTAGTGGTGTTTAAGAAGCTTACTGATAAACTATAACTCGGTCAAATTTATCTTGTTCCCTTGGTCTTGCTTTTTTAGACCAAATAATTTTTCAGTAGTTTGAATTCAGATTTCTCTCTTTTTTTCCACGTACTCGGATATTGCAAAGGCTGTGAAAGAGCAAAGCCCTGGAAACTTTCCAGTACATTGAAGATTTTGGTCCAGCTAGTGCGGTGGAGATGTAAACCTGTCTAAAGCTCAACCTAGCTGAGCTAGCACTGCGTCTCGAGACCCAAAGCCACAGCCTCTGGATGTGTTTTCCTTCACCTTTTTCTGCAGGGACTTCCAAGGGAAAAACAAAAGCAAATCAACCTTCAGCTTCGTGGGATCGATGTGTTAGTGTGCGCCAATGCTATCACAAATTCTGGATTACAAAAGACATGAAGGGTTCACAAGTTAAATTTGGTGCTTTAGGATATTTGGGCTAAAGTCTATTTAATCCAATTAAGCAAGAGTATTGTTTTATAATGAAAATAATATCAAAGCATTTGCCTGTTGACTTCTGGTATCCCATAACATGGTCATCTTCAAGCCTAGGAAAATTTTACTAAGGTTTTAATAAGATTACTGCCTAAACAAATCTGTAACGGTTTTTGGTGGACAAGCAAAGGTGTTGTTAAAGATTGTTGGTTTTGGAAGGTTGGTTTTTTAGGCTTTCTGACTTTTATCCTTTGCAGTGTGAATATAAATTGTGCTTTTTCTTTTATCAGTATAAATTCAAGATTTAACAAAGTAGCAGTGCTGAAGTCTTGATTTTGATTAACTCAGATCTTGAGGGAGAGTTTAGATTCTGTAAAAATAAATAAATAATAATAATAAAACTTTAAAAAAAACCCAGAAGTAAAACATCATTTCCAGTAAAATTAATGTTTCTTCAGTAAATTGACAGATTTACAAAAAAGGAAATTTTGGTGCACTTGTTTAAAAATAAACTGACTAAAACTGCTAATTAGTAGTCAAATATCAGACGATAGGATTTCTTGAATGTGGAACACAGGCTTTTAAGAGCAGTACATTATGTCTAACAGCTAAAAAGAGGCTTCTGAGGAGCTGTTTGTGTAAGTAGTTTGAAATTGAATTGATCGTACTACTCACAAGTTTCTTCTGAGGAATTGGTTTTCCCTCCTCAGACTGTGTAGCAGGTTTGATTCAAAATCAAATCCTGCTGCTTCTCACGCTTTTAATTTGTTTTAGTTTTCAATCCATAGAAATCAAAGAACTAATGAGTAGTGTCTTCAGAAGTGGTTTATTCCCCATTAGCAATGATAGATTTTATTTTTTTCCCTGTTCTCTCTATTGAGAGTTTGAATAGGGAGGATTAACATTAGCTGGAGGCATTGGTTTTATATATACATAAATTTTATAAGCTTTATATATAGATAAGGCATCCATGGAGAATTCTCATAGAACATATTAACTATCTATCGATGGAGACCTATCAGGATTTTGTTCAGAACGCAGCACTTTCCTTCAAACTCTCCGTCAGTCAAAGTTTTGGTTGCTTTAAACATGGAGCATATTCAATAACTCTGAGGTTGCGTCTGTTTTCTGCTTTACAGAGTTTTCCTGGTTCAACTGGTGCCTGCCAGGATCATGTCTGCTCAGCCTGCTCCTGATCCTCTGCTTCCGCGAGTCCTACGACAGACTCTATCTCGATGTCGTCGTCTCTGTGTGATAACGGCAGACTGGTGAGGGGTTGGAAGAGACTGGAAGTCAGCTTTGCAGTCTGCACATCTGCCTGGATTTGCACAGCTGAACAGCGGAAAAACAAAGAAATTACAAGACTTAATCATGGCTTTATTAGGGTGAGGGACAGGCTGTTCTTACATTCAAGACCACCTTGATTGATGATAAACGTGGAACTTGAGTGGTGATAATGATGCCGAAATGCACAAAGAGAATATATCTGATGTACAGGTCCTGGTGCTGGAGCTGGGGCTCTCTATTTAAAAGACTGTTGATGTAGCAATGAGGTGTACAGTTGTGCGTGCATGTGTGTGCGTGTGCGGACTCACGGTTATACACACTAGGGTACCAGTAACCTTCAGGGTCTTCTATCAGAATAGAAATAGTGAATAATCGTAACAAAAGGAAAAAAAAGAGAAAAGGAAAAAAAAATCCTTTTTTTAAAGATCTCTCTCTTTAATCGCTAGTCATTTATATAATCAATGTCCATTAAACAGTTAAGCTAAAATGATTTGGTGCTTGTACACTACAATTACATTCTAATAAAGTGATTTCTGATATAAGACACTGGTACCAGGGGTTTTAGCCATACTAAATATCCCAAGCAATCCTTGCAGTGTTGTTAGAGGTGTTTGTTGTTATCACCCTGGAGCACATTTAAACGATAGCTTTAGCTGCTGCTGAAACCCCACTTGCACCCGCAGTCGCCTCTGAAATACCACCATGGTTCTGTATCTCCCGATTACGGAGCCTCTGTGGTATCTCAGAAGTTTACTGAAGAGTCACTCTTGGTAAATGTTGGTGTTTCCAAGGCCACCACTGGGTCACCTTTTCATCCCCCATCTCCAGTACTGCCTTTTTACTGTGAAGACCCGTTCGTGCCACTGAATGCTGTGGGTGTGGATGTCCAAGTCCCACTAGTTCTCTTCTGATACTCTAAGGCATGCGTGGGTTTTAGGATTAGTTTATGATTGCGGGTGCCTAAACAATATTGGTTGTAAATGCAAGTCTTTAAAATCACCGTTTCCTAAAAGGTATTTCTAGCTGTTGAGGCGCCCTGATGGCAAAATGACAATGAGTTTGACATGAGAAATAACTCGTGAGTTTTGGCATAATACAGGAAATATAATGCCAGCTCTTTTTATCAGTACTAATACGTGGTCGTTCTGGCCCTTACTTGAACATAAATATTAAAGACACTTTGAATAGTTTTTTAATTCAATTTTAAACCTGCTAATAATTTCTTAATTATATTCTTAGATTTCAGTTCAGCATCACTTACAGTATTTCCATGTGTGTGTTCTGTGCTTTGTGTTAGAGGTGTGTGTTTGCGTGTGAGCGTGCGTATTTATATCTATGTATACACAAATAAAACTTATATATATATCTTTTATATATAAGTTAATAAGGGTATGTGTTTACATAGGTTTATTTTAAATAATCGTGTCTCTGGATGGTGGCATGCCACTGTTTGTAACTAAACCAGTCACTGCCGTGAATGGAAGTGTGTACATATGCTGTCTGCGGCGTGCATTTTTTTTCAGGGAGTGAATGATTTCCTACCGTAGTAATTTTATCGCAGGGGGTGCGTGCATGTGTTGGAGGAGGCTGGTGTGCAGGGTTCTGCATCCGTGGAGTCCGAACCGAGCGCCCTTTGCTCCTGTGCGAGGCTCCTCTCTGCCACCCTGGGGGGACACCGACACTGTAAACTCACTGGAATAAACCCTGGACTGAGCACTGCCTTTCAGACACAGACCCATTCGTTCTGTCTGCCCTCCTTTTGCGGAGGGAATATGCCACTAATACCTTCAACTCAGGAGTGTATCTGTGCAGTAAAATAAAACAAGCTGTTCCCTGCTTTTATGTTTTCAGAGCAATGGATGTATTTCCTGTAGGAACAGAAAATTGACTTAGCTCCTTGCCTATATCAGCTACTAAATGATCTTTTCTGTCTTGAAGCAGGTTTTTTGTAGATGATGGAGCTAACCTACACTGGGATAACTAAATCAATCTAACCAGCGCATTCAGAACTTCTGGCATCATCTTCTTACCGTTTTTCAGATGAATGATATTAACTGTCCAACTTTTTTACTATGTTTTAGTGCCTGGAATAGTTTCAGTATCCAGTAGCTGCTATCTATTGTCTTCTGAAACCAAGGATTGTTTGCCAAGAGTCTGATTGGAGTTGCATTGTCATGGCGGAATTGCAAGCTCAGATGGCTCTTCGGAGCTCCGCTTCTGCAATTTACTGTAGCTATATTAAGATTAAAATTGCACAGTTCAGGCACTGTCCCGAGTGACAGATATTTCTAATCCTTTCACTGTCCTGACTATTTTAAGATGGAGAAGATGTACTTCAGACAGTATTCAGACTATAACCTATTCTGCCTCTGTTCCAGAAAACATTGAACATTTCAAAACATTTGTCAGTGCTGCCAGATGCAGACTCTCCGTATGGTCAGGGGAGAAGAGTGAACATCTTGTTTTAAACCCAGTTGATTGTTTTTCTGAGTTGATGTGAATTGCTCACTGCTCTCCTGGACTTTGATGCTTTGGTAGAAGTTTCTGTGTCTGTCTTGGGCACTGTAGCGTGTGGTCTTAAATGCAGCTGTTGATGCCTCTGCACCAAAACACAGACGTTACCCAGAGCTGAGCGACACGGCAGGGCTCTGCTGGAGACCTGCGCTGAGGTTGCAGGCGCCGTTCTGCAGTCAGGACTCAACCAGAGTTTCCAGCAAATCTGATGGAAATCTGCCTGAGTGAAAACCGAAGGATCGCTCCCAAATTACTCAAAGTTGTGCAGGACACTGCTGTGTTCCACACACACAATGTTCAGGCTTCAGGATTTTATTAGATTAGCAAGTCTGGCTCAGGACAGAGGTGGGTTGTAAACGTGCTTGCTGAGATCTCTGAAAAATATTTTATCCTCTGTGCCCAGCAGCAGCAGCCTTCTCGGGAGGAGCAGTCCCTTTCACACCAGTAACCCAGCTGAAGCTGTGGGAATTTCTTTGGGATATGGATTATCATTAGGTCCGCCTTTGGATTTACCGAGCTGTTAGGATAACTATGCTTTATTGGAAGTTAGTGTTTGAGACCGCAGGGAGAGCTCTAAGCAATGCTGATACAATTAGCAGTAGTGCAGAACAGGCTCAAACCAGTTAATATTTCTCTTATTAATTAGTTAAAGTTCTAAGTCTCTGTAATTTCTCAGTCAGCAACAAGAGGGTGTTGTACCTAAATGAGGCATTATCTTGCACTGCCGCAGAGTAGCCGACGTTGGCTGCTGCTTGGCCTTTAACTTGTGCAGAGGAAGGTGCCCTGGGAAGTTACAATATTTGCTTCTCTCCGTGGCCCGTAAGTTCACAGCCCTGAAGAGCGTTTTTTCCCAGCAGCGCAGAGCTCCCTAAAATACAAAGAATTGTGCTATGTTTTGTATTGAAAATGCTAGGAAGGATGTGCTCTGTAGTGACGACTCTCTAATGGTTCTTTAAGTATGGGTTGCTCCTCAGGTTTCTGCTCTGCTCCGAAGGCTTTCTTCTTGTGAGCTGTGCTAGCTTTTCATGCTGCTAATGAGGAAGCTCAGGGTTACTAGATGTAGGCTCCACTTATGGCACCGTTTAGCGTCTCTCTTCACTGCGTTAATTCCCTTTTGATTCCTTTGCCTTCCCGCGTGGGTGCCTGCTCCCCTGAGCCGGAGTCCATGCAGGAGGTGTGGAGAAGAGGTCCTGTGCTCCCAAGCCAGTGTTAGAGGGATGGATTGGTGGACCATGTACTTAATATGCATAAAAATAGTCATTTTCAGGAAATCATGTAAGCTGGAAAAAAGTGCAGCCCAAAGGATTTTGCACATAGTGATCAGATAGTCTGTTAGGAGCAGACTATAATTTGCCTGAAACTTACACTTTTAGCTCCCACACCTAGAGTGGCTAAGCTGATAGGCACTGTGCCTGTTCGGTATTCGGCTTCACAGCATCACAGAGTTATTCCCAACCGTCTGACAGAGCTGAGATGAATGGGACTGGGACGTCTTTAACCTTGGAGTGAGTTGGAAAACCTCAGGCTGCGTCAGTGTTTGCACTGGTAACTCCAGGGAATGCCAAGCTGATGGATTGAGTGAGGGGAGGGGGGGTTCCAGAGGGCATTGCAACACTGAAATACTGCGTTGGGTTCATCAAATCCATTTAAAATTTGAAGTTTTGTGATGACGGGGATGTTAATGCCTGGCTTGTTCTACAGTAAACTTAGCAAGTGACTGCGTAGCCTTACACTGTAATGTAAACGAGCTGAATTGATTGATATGCATATATTGGCTGTTAGGAGAAAGGGAAGTGCTATTTAATTGTGAGGATATACAGTTTGCTTAGTGGATATAACTGCTCTATAATGCCATGACAGCAGGGGTTTAATTTTTCATCTCCATTTCTTCTATTGGGTCACTTGCAAATATTAATAATTACCTATGATAAAGGTGTTTTCACGTTTCATCAGTTTTCTGGGGTGTTCTTTTAGACTAAGTTTGGATCATTGTAATAATTTGGCAAGACAACTGCTATGCTTGTATGAAAGCGTACGTTAGCGTTTGGTATCGAGCTGGTATTTGCCGCTATTGTCAGTGCTGTTAAAGTGCCAGGCTTGGGGAGCAGGGGGTGGTGTGCGCGAGGAGGCAGCGGGGGAACAAAGGGAAATGCTGACCCTACAAAATGAACAAGAATTTCTTCATCAGCTTCCATGGGTGCGGGAAGTGGGTCCCAGCATCGGCGCTGGGAGGAGGAAGGGAGCACGTGTAAGGGGGGGAAAAGCCTCGTCGTGGTTGCTGCCTCCCTTCCGCCGGAGAGACAGGCTGCAGGCCGGGTGCTTTGTGTCTGAGAGATCACAACCCACCTCTTGGCGCTGCGAGGTGGGTTACAGGTGGCACAGGAATATCTGCCTCGCTTTCTCCAGGAGTGTCACGGCAGAGGAGGACTGCCGCAGAGCAGGCGGCAGCCCCAGTGAAGTCAGAAGATGATGTCAATCTGCTTATGATTTTTGCAGTTAGTGTTTCAAGACAGATGAAACTAATAAATAGAGGAAGAAATGTAACTCCCCAAAGTTTTGACAAGCAAAAGCAAATATTTGCACAGATGTGCTGGCTCCTGCCTTTTACTTGAGATCACAACGTGTTTGGAGCACTTAGTGCCCACCCGGAGCATGGACCCGCTCCCGCATCCCGTCCCTCCTCCTGCCGCTGCCTGACCCCCC